CCCTGGGGGGGGGCACTGAAGGATCCCCAGTTCCGACCTTGGTAGTCTGCCTCGCCTTATCCAAGAGAATTTTAAACATGGCGGGCACAAAGAGGACCTTGGAAGAAGGCTCCTCAGAAATGGTGGTATTCTCATCATCCGAGAATCCCATCTCCTGGGGTAACTCCACCCCCAAAAAAGAAGCCTCACTGACCATGGAAGGAGAAGAGGCCCGATACTGAACCCTGCCTAGCCCTCCATGCTTAGAAGAAAAGGAGCCCTTGTCTCGCTGGGCAATGCCCCTAGTAATGGCTGCAGAAATAAGCCTTTTGATCCCTTCAGGGAGATTATCCAGATCCTCCATATCCCCATAAGTAGAAGCAGGGCCCTGAGGGGCCAACCTTTGGGAAGAACAGGGGCCCCTGGACGAACCTTCCAGGGGATCATCTACAGGGGATGGAGAGCGCCCTCTCCTGGAAAAAGCGTGAGGCCTACCAGGGGAGCTAGAGGAAGATGCCGGGCTAAACCCCCTAAGGGAAGACCTGCCGGACATAGGCCCAAGGGGAGATCTGGATCTGTCTCTGGGCGAAGGCCTGGAGGACTGGACCTGTCTCTCTGCCCTGGCAAAGGTCTTCTCCAGTGCCCTATGACGCCTGGCTTCCTCCCTAGTAGAGGATCGAGAAGGGCGCCTAGTGGGTAGGGATTCCTGGGGGAGAGCCCCCCCCGTCTGATCCAAGGCCTCCTCACTCCCAGTGGGGCCTGCCACCTGGCCCTGGGGCATCTCCGCTCCCTCGTCCATTCCCCACTCACGTGTCCGACGAAGGGAGCAGGAACCAGGCCTCCAAAGTCCCACCGGAAACCAGGGCCTGAAAGCCTGTGGGGAATCTGGGCTGAAGGCCCCGTGTTAGGCCTGCACTGACCGCGTTTTAAATCGAAAGGCCTCTCGCACGTGGCAGCCCTCAAGATGGCCACCGGAACTCCGTGCGCAGGAGAAACGCTGCTCCCAAAAGTTCAGATGCCCAGCCGTGCTCCTGGAGCCGGCGCCGCGTAATTTCGAAGCGGGGAGAGCCACACGGCACCTACACACGCTCTCCTCACCCCCGCTCTTCCCCACGGCAGTTTAGAGAGAGCTCGTGGTTCGGCAGTTGCTCCGGAGCGATCAGCTGTGAAGCGGGTGAGCCGCGCGCTCCACGAGGCTCCGGAGACGCTCCTGACGCTGCTGCTGTAAACGAGGCTGCTTCTAAGCAGCCGATAAGGAGCTGGCACCCCCGCACCCCGGGGATCCAGCTGAAGCTCCTGGCCTGTGGGGAGGGGGGAGAGAAACTGCCCCACAGGGCCCTCCCCCAGCCGCCAGAGGCAGAAATCTGTCCCTTGGGGCCGCAGCAGAACAATTTAGGATTTGTAAAGGAATTTAAAGAGCCCAATTAGCCAAATACTTGAGAGTATTTGAGAGACCGCCTACTGCCAATTACCTCCACTAGACCAATTAGATCCCACAGACTAGGCCTCCTCCGAATTCCATCAGCCGGCCAGTGTAGACT